TGTGTGTGTGTGTGTGTATGTGTAGGTAATAGCCGTGGTGATGGATGTGTTTACAGACGTGGATATCTTTCGTGACCTGCTTGATGCTGCATATAAACGCAAAGTTCCTGTATACATAATCATTGACATGGCTGCAGTCCCCTGCTTTCTTTCCATGTGTGGCAGAGCTGATATGCACCGTGGACATCTAAAGGTACAGACACACAGACACAAACACACACATACACGCCCAGATGATGTTTTCATAAGCGAGGGATGAGCTTGTCGTACAGCTTCTCTTGTTATCTGTAAAAGCTTCAGCTCCAACTCCAATTTCCTGTGATATATATTTGAATACAAGTGAAATATTTGGAAGTAGGGCACAGGGCTTACGTAGGTGTAACAGGTTTTTGCCTGCAGGCCTCGGTAAGGTGCGAACACCAATAAATTGTTCTCCGTTGGCGGAGCATCTGAGTTGAACTGGTTGAGGCAGTAACAGAAAATAAAAAATAATACTGTTTCTGTTTCTCTTTCATTTCCCTTTCCTCCTTCCTCTTTACCCACAGAGATCTCCCACTCATTCAGCTTATTTCTTATCTGCCATCTCCCTTATTAGGAGAATTTACGACCCCCACAGTTCATGTCTCCTGTGAGATTTCGCGCAGAACATTTACTTGCGAGGTAACGCTCGGCCTGGAGCCACACCCTTATCACAGGGCTGAAGACAAACACTGAGTAGGGTGTGTCATGCAAGCATGCACATACACAGATACAGACCATGCTCCAACCTGTAGAGTCAGTAAATATGAAGTTGTCGGGGTATTGATAGAGATGAGCCGCTCTTGAGCAACAACAAAACTAATTCTTTTCTGCCCCCCCACTTTCTTGTTGCCTTCATTTCCCTTTTGTTCAGTAAAATATCTCCTCCTGTCGGTAACAAATCCCTTAGTATGCCTTTGTTTGCACAGCATTAACTTTGCATGAATGTGTGCGTGTGTAGAATCTGCGTGTGCGCTGCTGCGGAGGTGTGGAGTTCTTCACCCGGTCGGCACAGAGGGTGCGTGGGTCGCTGAGCCAGAAGTTTCTCCTGGTCGATGGAGACAGAGCCGTCTCTGGTTCATACAGGTAAGAAGTCTACTGAACAGAATGTTGTGAATCAGTGAATTGTCCATTTGAGCATCTAAAGTTGCACTTATCAATATTTTATCATTGGCAACATATTAAAAGTGATTATTTGTCAAAAGGAGGTCACTTTGCGCCCCGAGAAAATAATCACCCGACTCGAGAGTTGCCTCTCACTCTTCTGAGCATTTTGTTGTCTTTTAGCTCATTGTTTTGGTTCTCTAGCCCACAGAGTCACAGTTTAGGTTCAGGTTCATTGTTCTCAACAAGTCTCGCACAGTTTCTACCAGCAGACAGCCGGAAGCATCGAAGATAAACTATTTTTGCGGAGTCGATCAAGCACAAAACAGCAGAAAGCAAATGGTTGTGAAACAATGTGGAGCAGATTATGACCCAGATATTTCCCTCAGGAATTGGTCGAGACTAACACTGAGCTGCAAGGAGATATGCAAATGCTCTTTGTAGCTATTGTAACACCAATAACCCCCCCACCCACAACCAGCCCAGAAACACTGAATAAAACGTGCTGAGTGTGTTTGATTTAAATAGTTTTAGACAATGCTTCAAAGAAAATTTACACCACCAAATTACCACTTAGTTAGCACGGAGCATGAATGTTTACCTAAAAGGTAACTTTGTTATCTATCAATCAATATTTCTGCACGTTCTCATTGACTGTGTGACCTGTTCTTCCAAGGACAAACAAACTTGTGATTTGTCCAAAGGGCACGATATGCTGCATGACTTCAGTGCACAAATTTCTTGTGTAATGATTAATCTCTGGAACTGTGACATCATAATGGTTGAATCACTGCTGTGAACTTATGTTTCCTTCTCTGTGTTATTGCAGCTTCACCTGGTCGTCCTCTCGTTTGGACCGTAACCTCATCACTGTGATCACAGGACAGGCGGTGGAGACGTTGGACCTACAGTTTCGTGACCTTTACCTCATGTCCAGAGGGGTGTCTCTTAGCAAGGTTCCCATGGTGGACGAACCAGTCCCCGACCCGCTGCCCCAGGCGGCTCCTACTCCTGTGTCAGCTGCTATTGCTAGGAAGCTCATCAATCCCAAATACTCCCTGGTTACCACGGGAGCCCACAGTCCAGCCCCCTCTGACCAGAATTCCAACCCTCAAAACCCCACAGGGCTAAAAATAATGACAGGGCGTCCTAAGAAAGTAATGGAAGAACCGCCCCTACACCCAGGATTAGCCTATCTGGAGAAAGCATACCTGATTCCTTACCTGCCCACCTGGCCAGAGCCTGACCCACCAAGCGACGTGATAGGCTTTATCAATATCAGGGATGAAAAGCGGGCCAATCAGGTTCACCTACAGAGGTCAGAGAGGTTTGAGGTCAGCCAGGCTATACGCTTCAAAGCACCGCTGACGCTGCCACCCAAGTCTGAGGAACCTGCACCGGGTCATGATGCAAACATGGCAGAAGGAACCAAAAAGCCCTCTGGGAATACAAGTCCAGAAGCCACTTCTCCTGTGACCACAACCAGCAAACAGGTCAAAGAGAAAACAAATGCTTCTCAGAACCAAGCCCAAACCGATACAACAGATTCCAGTGTGGCCCCTCAGCAGCCCCGCACACAGGACAAACACAACCTAAATCAACACACTGCTGAATCACCATCTGGTATCACTGCTGATCCACAAACAACACATGACGCTAAACAAACTCCAGACACACAAACCCCAGCACCTCCTGTTCCTAAACGCCGCACACTGCAGCTGGTCCTTGACCCAACCCCTTCAGACCAGCCCGGCCAACCGCAGGTGACTCTCGTTAAAATGGACCAACTGGAAAGTCAAGATGACTCTTTGAGCGAACAGAGAACCCAGCCGCAGCTGACGTTAGGCCGTGGCCGCATGACATCTAAGGACAACGACAGGGACTCCGGCAGCAATGACGAGGGCAGCCAAGACAGCACCAAGGTCATCTGTGACCGAGCGGCCAACGATGATCCTTCAAGTGCCTCCACTGTGTCGGAGGAGGAGTTTTACGATATCCAGCAGGAGCCAATTGACCCACTGACGAGCAGAACTTCCACAGGTTCAGGTCGCGGACATCGGTACGGAGATGGGGTCAACATGATGGCCCGCCTCTCCCAGAGTATGCTGGACCTTCGAGAGCCCAGCCAATCAGAGGACAGCGCTGCCCTCATCCGCCAGTCCCAGCAGCTCCGCAGACATGGTCACCCCTCACCACACAGGCACATTGGAGAAGTGAGCAATGGCCGACGATAAGAAATTTTATGTTTGCTTCTTTTTCTGTCTTTGGATCTTTTTTTCCCGACTTTCTCACATTGCACAGACTAAACAATTAAACAGGAAGTTACATTACAATAGTCAAAGCTCTGCTGAAAAATACTTTTTAATTGTTGAACCAAAATGTTTAGTCGATTAAATGAGCAAGACAAAAAGTGAGCTGCAATGTACAAGGAATTAAAGATTTTCTACTGTTTTCCACATTTTATAAACTAAATGATAAAAAGATAACAATCACCAGACGATGTGTTCATTGTCAGTTGCAGTTAGAACATGTTCACTGACACTCCTTTAACAGGAAAATGTGTCACACACATTTATTCAAACTTTCAAACTGAAAAAAGGTGTGTTAAACCAACAGCATCAAAGGAAACGCTACTTTTTTCCCTGAATCAAATTGTGTCTGATTTTCCGCTGAAGCGTTTGTGCACGCACCTGGATAGAGCGCTCGGCTGATCATGCCGGGGAGGATGATGAAGATGAAGGGCAGCATCTTCAGATAGGCAGCCAGGATCGATGCTCCTTTCACGTGACTCATGCTCTTAGCCGACAGGGAGCGTTGCACAATAACCTAAACACAGAGAAACAGTAATAACTATTAACTTTATCCATGGAGCACCTTTCAAAAGAATTATAGAACCAAATGTCCCACTGTGCTAAAATCTCACCCTGTTTTTAAAGCATCAAATAACAAATTCAAACCAAACGTACCTGAAAAATTCCCAAAAATTACCTGACCAAAAACATTTATTAAGCATGTATGCTGATTTAATTTGGTCACGTAAACTAACACTCCAGCCAACAGGGGGCTATCCGGATGTTTTGGCTTCAGATTTGAGAGCTGTCACGTCGTCCATCTTTATTAACACTCTATGATTAACGTGATGTATCTTTTCTGAATTTCTAGTTGTTCCAGACCTCTAGATCTCCAGGTAGAGATGCACGACTGCGAGGCAACAAAGTCGTCATCGCCAAACCGGGAAGTTACCACCGCCCTACCCGAGCAGCTGGCCCTGTGATAGGAGGACACCAATACTGGAAGGGTCAAGGGCTGCAAACCAGTTCGACCCGGCCGCACGCAGAGATTCGGTCCAGCCGGTCGCCACGACGCCACAGCCCGGGTTACAGGAAGACGGACAACACCTCGGCACAGCAGCCAACCAGCCCATCAGGGCTACTTGGAGTTTCTTTCTCAAAACTGACCAATTTTAGACACTTGAGGGCACGAGGAGGAGGGTCGCAGAAGAAAGCGACTCATAATAAACAGGCTGCTAGCTAGAACAGAGGACCTGTGGACGCACGGACGTTTGTTTATAAAGACTTCCTGCTACGAAACTGGTGACTGTTCACTGTGGAATCCTTTCTATCTCAGGCATGCATGTCACTTCCTGTTTTAAACCCTAAGGCTCAGCTTACACCAACTATTTAATTATGAAGTGATATGAATCTGATATGATGATGTGTTGTTAGAGGCTTTGTCTGTAAATGAATTGTTTGTCCTTCCAAACTTTTTCCTCCTGGTTAAAGTTTCAGACTGGATGCTTTCAGTAGCGTTACTGATCTGAGAGCAACACTTTTTATCTTGCATCTGTCATAATTAGTAAACAAGTGATTCAGTCATCTTGTTTCTAAGCCCCTGTTCAGACCTGATATAAACGTCTGTCCTGAGAGATCCAATCACAATGAGACAGTGTTGAGTCCATTGTGATTTGACTTCCCTGCTCTATATGCAAATAATCATGTAAGTCATTTGTATTTGTGAAGACAAAGTGATGTGTTGTTTTTACACAGTCTGAGTTTAGAGACGTGTCCAATGTGTGTCTGTGTGTCGGCACGAGCGAGCGGGACGCAGAGACGAGTCAGGAGGGGCTGAGTGAATCTTGTGCAGCTGCTGTGCAGAATTATTTTTATCAGTTTAAGAATTAAGAAAAAGATTGTGATGTGGCGATCAGTGTTGATATTGTGACGTCAGCTGAGTATTTGGTTCTTCACAAGTGACGCTTTTGCATTCCAACAGCAAAAATGATGCGTCTCGGACCAGCTCCCAATATGGTCCGAGCGATCGGATCTCAGGACACGTTACAGTGCGTCCGGGCCTGGACTCCGATCTTTCAGGTCAGATGTTGATGCCAGGTCTGAACACAGTTTAAGATTGAACAGAAGCAGAGGTATTTAGTAGTTGATAAACAACAACATACTAGATTTGATCAAATAAAGCACTTCAGTCTTGTAATGAATCCTTTGAACACTTCCAGTTTAAATCAGCTTCTGTTTTTTAGAATTTCATTCCGTAATATTTTTCTATATTAAACACACACAGATGTGACAATCAGCTGAAGATGTTTTCCCGCTGATATACGCGTCAGGCTCTGGGTGTTGATACCACTGTGGTAACTGATGGTGCGAGGGTTAAGCCACCGTGTTGCTTGCTTTGCGGGTGAGGCAGATGTTGTTGATTACAGATGTGGAGACCAGGTGTATTCGATGTTTAACACTGATGTGACTAAAAGTGAATGTTGTAAATAAAAAGTCAGACTGTTTCTCTGTTGTTGCTTCAAACAGATCAGATTAAACACCAGTTAAAGATGAGTCAGCATCAGTACCAGGAAAATCTCATGTCTGACAGTGAAAGTCTATAACTCAAGCTAACGGCATCTGATCTGGAAATCATCCAGAGCGGTTAATGAATGTGTTTGAGTGCAGTGAGGTATTTTAAGTATGTCTGCTTTTGCCTCATAGAAAATATATAATTCTAGTCTTAGGTTTCTTAAAGGGTTTTTTAAAGCCTGGTGTTTGGGTTTGGCCAGAGATGGAGACTGACCTGAGACTTGGAGCAGTCAACTTTAACAGAATGGAGTCTGTTGGGATATTTAGCAGCAGGAGCAAAACCAAAGAAAGTCCAAGATTACATGAAAGATTTTCCTTGAAATTGGAAAATGTTGCTAAAAAAATCTCCACCCTGTGATCAAGGAGCTGTTTTCAGATTTTAGAGAAATGATTAATAAGGACAAACCAAGATTATTCATTAAAATGTGTTAAAACTCATAAACCTCTGGTTCAATATGGATCTGCCATATTTACTGAAGTTGAGCAGGTTCACAGTTTTTCTGAGGCCACAGTCAGTTGAGAAAAAACTTTGATGACCTCATTTTACTTTTCTTTTACAAATTCGCCAAATAAAAAAGAGCTTTCATGTTATTTTAAAAGTATTCTTGTGGCATTTTGACTATTTTCTGTACAAAGACACAGTACTTGAGTAAATCTAGTTCGGTAAAACAAGTACAACAACCCTAGATTTTAGAAGTTGAGTCAAAAACTAATAAACAACAAAGACTACAGAAGAGAAAAGAGATCACAGTTACCTCACAAACACTTATTTTTGCCTCTTGAACGTGACTCAAAAAGGAACTGATTTGATTCAGTGGACAAAGGTGAACCCATGTGAGTCTAAAGAAAAACGTATTAAGACTGAAACTAATCTGGTCGGTGGAGACAAACGACCTCTGGGCTGTAGTTCTAGTTTTACGTGTTTTGAGAGAGAAGGTTTTTAACTTCACTTTAATGGAGTTCCAGCTTTGTGGTCCATTACGGTCCCTGGAGGAAGCTGCACCTCGAGGCACGTGAGTATTGTCACTGATGTGTATTTTGCAGATGTACCTGGTCAGTGCACCAGTACCAGGTGGCCAGTATGGTGAGGCCCAGCGTCATGCCCGGCCAGGGCAGGTCTCCGGTGACGGCGTCCCTGAACAGGTGCATGGCGTCCTGACGTGGCAGGTGGCAGGTGCTGTTGGGAATGATCTTACTGGGCACCGCCATGCTGTACACACGCTCCAGGTTACTGTACCCTCCGATCTTGTTAAAGGCTGTGGATCGAGGTACAACTCCCAACTATACATTCCTCATGATACTAAAAACTGCAGATGTGCATGCTCAGTTTGCTTTTGAAGGATTCAAGTGTACATACCAGTAACTGTCAGGATTATTGCTCCTATGATCATGATAACTGTCTGCAGAGTGTCTGTGTAGATGACAGCAGCGAGACCACCTGGACACAAGAGCATGTGATACTGTTGATGAAACCTTACATGCAAAGGGAAAGATAAAGCAAAAGCACATAAAGAAGGTTTTGTGCAGAAATTATTATTTACGATTTATTTAAGAAAATAAAAAGCGTCGCCAACAACTAATTGTTTCTCCCGTGAACACTGATCCTACTACTCACTGGATCGGAGAGAGAAGGTTGAGCAAGCGTGCAGGAAAATGTGACCGTGTGGAAAAATATAAAAATGAAGAACAAAGCGTCCATTGTTTTAAATTCATAAAACTGTGAATTCGACAAAGAACGATAGAGTAAAACTGAGTGAGTGAGGTTACTGAGTGCATGGATGGACAGTAAGAATACAGATACTACAGTGTGCTGTGCACAGAACAGATTCTTATTTGCTTGACAGGGATTTATCTATAAAATATAAGTTATGCAAGTGTAAGAAATTCTTTCTCTGAGCTGAAAAAGTTCTGTGATGTGATCAAAACCGAGACACAAACATAATGTCGTCGTGGTTTGTGTGTACCTGCTATAGTATAGAGTGCAGTGACCACCAGCATGAGGACAGTGGACAGATAGAGGTTCCATCCCAGACACACCTGGACAAACAAGGCTCCAGAGTACAGGTCCGTCTGGTGATGGAAACACAACGTGTCAGACAGGGTTGTTAAATGTTGTGCTGTTTCATTGTGTGTGTGTGTGTGTGTGTGTGTGTGTGTGAGATTGTCGCACTGATATCTTTGTGAAGACGGACAGCAGCAGGGAGAGGACAGCCAGGTAGGTTCTGATCCTCTCTCCTCCGAATCGACGACCCAGATACTCCGGCATCGTCACGATCTGAACATGAGAACCAAAGATCAGACACATGATCAGAAGGATGCAGCAGTGAGAGGGAGGGCAGAGGGAGACAGTGGATACGTGTGATGTGTTCACACTTAATACAACAAAGAGGGAAAATCCATTTATGGCCTTTTTATTAGAAGACTACACTGTGTGTGTGCATGTGCACTGAAGTGTAACACCCTGTTGGGGAATTTTCAAGGCGGGTAATTCTTGTCTGCTGAACCAGCCTTAACAAGCAGACATGCACCAATGTGTGTGTGTGTGTGTGTGTGTGTGTGTGTGTGTGTGTGTGTGTGTGTGTGTATGTGCAATCTAACCCCTGAGGAGATGTAGACAGGCACAAACACCCAGGCCAGAGCCAACAACACATAGGTGGCCTGATGGAGGAAAAGAAGAATGATCAGTCAGTCAATCAATCAATCAATCAATCAATCAATCAATCAATCAATCAATCAATCAATTATAAATCCTCTCTCTGTTCAACTTAAGGAAAAACATTCAACTCTTTATTCTGAATGAATGAACTCTCACACTGGTGCTGACTCATTCTTCACTTCACCTAAAACATCTGGATGTCTTTCAAGGAGTTCTGCTGCTGCCCCCTGCTGGTGGTTGTGTGTTACAGCTGTACAAACACTAAGTAGTTGTCTCTTTGCTCGTTGGGTAAAATATCGATTGCAATGCTCTCATCATTAATTTCCTCCTCATGTTTCAAATTAAATTAGTCATTGAAGCTGCGTGTTTTTGTTTTCTCAGCACAAAAGGTGGATTAGATGGATTATCAGACCAGATCTGCTTCATTCCATTGGATTTAAGTGTTTTCAGTTACTATTCATAGATAGATTTCATAACGTCTCGTGTGTGTGTGTGTTGTTTAACTCACGTTCCATTCAAAGCCGGTGACAGCGATGCCTCCAGCAGCTCCAGTCCCGGCCAGACCGATGAACAGACCTGAGCCCTCTGAGCTGGCGAACAGAGACGCTCCAATCTGAGCACAGCAGGGATGGACAGCATCCATGTACTTTACTTCAAGTGCCATATATGACATCGATTAAATACTTTCTTACAAGTTAAAGTATCAGAAGCAAAAACTAAAGTACATGGTCGGAGGACAAATGTATCTTAGGCTTGTAGTACTTTTTAATTTCGATGCATTAAGTGTTTATCGTTGTAGCTGTTGGAGGTGAAGTTACTTTCAATGACCTCATCCACTGATAGTTTGGTCCAGTGGTTCTCAACTCATAGTTTGTGTCCCTTCAAAGAGTCACTGAGTTTTTTTTGTGTTTTCATTTGATGAATTATTGGATTTTTAAAAATCTCGTTGGGACTGAAATTCAAATGAAATTATCTGAGAAATTTAGAGGGAAAATCATTTTTAGTGGAAATACTCAGACATCTGAGCCGTGACGAGGGATCGTGACAAAAGATTATTTTTAAAATTCCATCAGGTAAATGCAGTGGAGTAAAAATATAAAATATTTCCATCGTAAAGTAGAATTAAACAGAAACCAAAAACTACATGTAAACAGTATGAAAGACTCATTTTAGATTGTGTTACTCGGAGTTTGACTCCAGCAGTTTGTCTGTTGTTATGCTCAACTTTTCTCCCAGTATTGTTAATCAGAATCATTACTATATATATTCATCTCCTTTATGATATTTGCAGTCAGGTCCCAGTATTTTGTCAGTTTCATCCAAGCAGAAAATCCTCCTCAGCATTTTATGACCTTCATGAGTAAATATTTCACATATAACTTTTATTGTTCTCTAGTGAACAAACAAACTTCCTACAACCTGGCAACAACAAGTTCTCCTTATTAACTGATTCATATTTGTCTACAAATATTGGTAAATGATTTTTTAGTGTTTAAAAAGCCATTTAATTCTGCATACAAGTCATTTTTGGTTCATTCACCAACACAAGTTCACAGATGAGCAGATACAAACACACACTCACCGGCCACCAGGCCATGTCCCGTCCGGCCAGGAAATATCCACTCAGGGTGTTCCTGCTCACCCTGCATGATGACTGACAGAGAACAGTGTTACAATCTCTCACACACTCACACACTCTCTCTCACACTCACACACACACACACACATCTCTGACACTTACCCAGATGCCGACTGCGAGGTTGAGAAGAAAGTAGGTTGCTATGACAATAATATCAGAGGAGCTGAAGGACTGAGACAGGGCGTAGAAGTTGATGGTGGAGTTAGACATCCTCAAGGGTTCACAGAAATACACTCACACACACACTTAGAAATACAGCACAAACAATAACACACACACACACACACACACACAGAGATGCTGAGTTTAACTCTCACACCTGAGCAACGTCTCATCAGACGACGGACTCACAATCGGACTCTGTGAGACACTTTAAAACCCAAGCACATTAAAAACACCACACAGTCTTTGTGTGACACTGACACACACAGTCAAACACACACACACACACACACACTCCAGCTCCGGTCCCAGCTGAACTACAGACTGACCTGTCTGTTACTGGCAGCCTGACACACACACAGTCACATGTGAGTGTGTGAGGAGGGCAGGCCTTTGCTGGAACTGATGATTAAACCCATCACCTTAATGTGACACCTGCAGCGCTGACACACACACTGTGCCGGGGGATAATGGAGTGTGTGGTGCGGGTGGAGGTGAGTGGAGTACAGCAGATGTTTGCGTGGACCAGAGTCCATGATGAGGCACACACACACACACACACACACACAGATGGTCAATCATTGGCGCTGACACGTTTATAATCATTAGCGTCTCAACACATCTGCTGGTAAGTGCTGTGGAGGGTCAGTGAAAGTGTGACAGATAAACAGTTTCAGTCACTAACTTTTAGGAAGCAATTACCAAGTTTGCACCAAATAAATGAATCCACGAACACAACCGGAGCTTGAGGGTTTGAGTTACAACTGCATGATACCAGGATTATTCATGTGGAGCTTGTAGTTGCAGAGAAAGACTCATTTTCGAGCAGGGGGCTGGGAAAAGGGCAGATTTAACAGAGAATTAATTTTAACTCATAAGATAAAGACTTGATATTCTAAAGTATGTTTTAAAATGGATGGAAAATAAAAAATGCTTTTAATCTCTGAAAATGCATCTTGTTATGTAGTTTTTTTTTTGCCAACACCTATTTTGTGATTTTGTTTTTAACAGATTTTGTTTTATCTTTTAAAAACTAAACTAAACAATTGTCAAAAAGCCCATTTGAATATTAAGATATATATATTAATTCCTTCCCGCTGGTCATTTTGCCAGCAGTGGGTTGATAAAATCTATAATCCTTGTTTGATATGTCACAAAAAATATATTCAGAGTTTCATCTGGAGCCAATAAGAGACCTCAGCTCTACAAGTTAGACGAGAGTCAGTTTAATTTTTCCAAAGTTAATAGATTTAAGGAATAAAAATCCCTTTTGTGTTTGCAGCTCAACAGGGAAATGTTATTTTTACGTTTCGATCATGATGTGTATTTTATATTTATAGTTATTTGCTTTTATTTGCTTTGTACGTCTTTTTTAATCCAATTGTCTGAAGCGCTGCTAAAGACTCATATTAGCTTTCTGAGCTAAATGTGGATTTTCATCTTAAACACACAAAATGTATTATTGTCAGTCATCTACTTTGCTGCACCAGAGCCTTTTGTTCATCTTGAGCTTTTACACTTCGTCCCCTGTCCATGTACACGTGTGTGTGATTAATGATGATGTGTGTGACGTCAGGGCGTCTCCATCGCCACCATCTGCTCCTCAAACACTGACAAACACTGACCAGCAGCAGTTTGTGGGTAATTTCACATCAGGGAGCATGAAAGCAAATGTACTCGACTCTCGGGCCTCTCCTCCTCCTCCTCCTCCTCCTCCTCCTCCTCTCCTCCTCCTCCTCCTCTTCCTCTCTTTTCCTCTCAAACGTGTCTAATTTTGTGATCACGCATAGTTTTGATGTGAGGTTAATTACAAAGCCATCAAGATCAAACAGAGACGTGGTAGTAATCCGAACAGAAGAGGAAGCTCTCTTTACCCACAAGTGTTTCAGGTTCACACTCATCCGGCGGAATGATGGCGCTCCTGTTTGCCAGATCTGGGCCACGAGTAAACCATTACAATACCGCAAGTCAACCAGAGGTGCCAAAGGTGGCCTGGAATTGTTTTGTGCTACTTGGGCCACTTCAGGTTCACATCCGGATGACACCCTGTCTGGGGCACCACATGATTACAATAAACAGTCCACGATTGTTTTTGTTAAATTTGTTATTTTACCGGAGGGAAACTTTAGGCTAAGATCTTATTGGTTCGGGCCACAAGAAAACCAGAAGTGCTGCATCATCGCCTGAAGCTTTTCAACACAGCAATAAGTTAATGCATAAACAACCAGTTAATGTGTGTGTAATTATTCACTCTGCAGAGCCCTTCTATTATTGTAACACATGTTGTGTATTAATAAAAATCACCAGAACCACTGGAGTCATTAATCAACAAGTGTTAAGAAAGAACCACATAAAACTTCATCAAGAAGAAAATAACAAGTGTCTTCTGCTCGTGTGAGGAAGCAAAGTGGAAAATCCACTTGGTAAGTTTTCTCAAGCACTAACTTTGAGGTTGGGGGCATAAAATTAAAAATACACGAGAATGTGTTCATTTGTAATTGTCGGGAAGCAACACTTTGACATATTAAACAATTATTATCATACAGACATTTTCTCTCAATGAGCTGATCAACGCTGCCCCCTACTGTAAAAATGATGATCACATTCTTGAGACCTGAGATTAAAACTTTAAATAAAGTCCTGAACACGAACAGAGTATTTCATGACTATAAAGAAAACTGTGGATTTGTTTTTCATCGACATTTTACAACAGACATTTCTGCTTTTATGATTTAATATCAGCGACAAACACACAGAAAGTAATCTTTGGTTTTTTATTATTCATTAAACAAACCTGTTAAATTTCTTTCTTTCTACTTTTTCATTGTTTTCTATTCATTCGTCCTGCTGGTGTTGGTTCTGGATTGTATCTCTGTCTCGTCTGAAAATCTGTTCAAAGATTCCCACTAGAATAGATCTTCCATCTTTTCATTTCTTCTGACACAAGCTCCAAACCTCCTCTCACTCTCACTCTCTCTTTCTGTTTCTGTTTGCTGAACTTGCTTGTGATGCTATAATGGGAATATTGAGACTAAATCAGAAATCAGAAATACTTTGTTGATCCCAGGGGGAAATTGTGTTTGGCACAATTAAAGTAATTCAAACTGTACAATACTTCCATTAACCAGGACAATGTCAATATATTTCACTTTCACTTTAACTGTGATAAATTGTAAGATCTCCTCAGGGGTCTCAAAAGGAGCTGTGAAATAAATTGAATTATTATTCTAATGATTATTTTGTTGTTATTGTTATTATCATATTCTTTTTCTTCTAATGATTATTATTATTATATTCTTAATTTATTCTTTGATGATGATGAATGTACTGTTGTTATTACTATCATTATCATCAGGACTATAGCATTTCTTCTTCTTCTTGCTTCTAGTGATGATGACGATGATGATTCTCATTATTATTATTGTTATGATGATGATGGTGATTATTATCATTATTTTTCAGTTATTTTGTGATGATGATGATGATTCTCTTTATTATAAGTCCAGCTCTGCTGACATCACCGTGGAACAACACCGGGTTTTCCAGGGAGAAACCAGACACGTCACTTTGACTATTTTCAGTTTCGTTATCAGCACTGTCTCCTCCTCCTCCTCCTCCTCCTCCTCCTCCTCCTCCTCCTCCGTCTCCTCCTGCTCACAGTCTCGCCCTTTAGAGAAACACGACTAGTTCAGTGATTGAAGCTTTTGCTTTCAGCGTCAAACTGAGCCGATCTTTCCAGATAAGCCATGTTTTCCTTTTCCTCTTACACGTTGGTGATCGTGTCGCTGCTGGGTTTCCTGACTGACTTCCACGTGTCCGGCTGTGGTGAGTTTTACTTTGAGATCTACAGACAAACATGTCGTCCAGAACACGTTCCTGTCTGTGTCTGACTCTGTCAGATTTTCATCCCATGTGACAATATGTGTATACATGTATAAATAGCCAGTGACGTATAATCTATAACATAATTGATTGATTAGCTAACATAATTAAAGATAGTAGTGTTGTGGGACATACTTGAAATGCCGAGTACCGATGCTCAACACTAACATTTAGATAATAGATAGATAGACAATCCTTAATGGCTCCCCGTGAGGTCAATGTGTGTGTTCCAGCAGCTCAAACAGAAAGTGACTGTGAAAACCTTTTTGTTACAGATAAAAACTGTGTGAACAACACTGAGTTCACTCCGTCCACACTGGTGGTGAAGCACGGGGACCCGGCCTCTGCCCACTGCACTCTGTGCCCGTCTTGCCCAAGCCACATTTTCGATTTGGAAAAATCGATCGGAAAAAACGTCTACAACGGAACCACGATTACATGGACGGTGGACAGCTTGAGGGAGTGGGGGACTACTCTCCTGTGTTTCTATGCTAACGCTACGAACCACCAGTGTTGCACTGAACTGGATGTAATCGTGTACAGTAAGTTCACTTTTATTTGTGGGATTTATACTCTCTCTGTATGTCCGTCCGTCAATTCTATCCATATATCTATCTATCTGTCTGTCTCTGTCCATTCATCCGTCTGTCTCTATCTATCTATCTATCTATCTATCTATCTATCTATCTATCTATCTATCTATCTGTCCAATCATCCATCTGTCCATTCTATCTATCTATCGATTTGTCCATCCATCAATCCATTCTGTCTATCCGTCCGTCCAGCTATCCGTCTCTCAGCCTTTCTCTGTCTCCACAGAGCCTCCAGACCTGGTGTCCATCGGCTTTAAGAATCACTCCGGGCCGTTGTTCGAGTCCCGTCACTACACTCTGGAGTGCGAGGTGCAGAACGTGGCTCCGATCTCAAACGTCACTGTGACTTTCTTCAGAGATCTCACAGAACTGGGTCAGACGCAGTCCAGCAGTGCACCACAGAGTGAACCAGGGACTGAGGTCTTCACTCTGGACATCCACGCCACTCCAAAAGACGACGGAGCTCAGTACTGGTGTCAAGCCAAGCTGGAGCTGGGACCACATGGACCAAAGACCCCTCCGATGGCGACGTCGAAAAAAGTGACCGCTACTGTCCACTGTGAGTCCGATAACAAACCTGCAAATGATGGCGCTTCATTTAAGGGACTATTGGGCCTGAGCGCTCTACTTGTTGCAGTGAATCACATGATTACTATTTTGTGAAGTGGGTCTGTTACAGTCTAATAATCAGCTCTCCTTTATGTCACTGCTGGTAATTTGGTTTTCACGCTCACTGTCACTCATCAGCGTCTTCAGAAGTTGTAAGTGTACGCAGGCAACTGGACATTTCACCTCACATCCTTTAGATTAGACCAAAAGTGAAGCCAGAAGGTAAAATAACCAGAACTTTGCCAGGTGGTCATAAACACAACTCCCGACCAGCACTTTGGTTTTCATCTGCAGCTCCCTGTTGATTCATTAGCTGTTTGACTTTGTATTCCTCCCACACAGATAAGCCTCAGCAACTGGAGCCATCCCATCCAGATGTGATCTGGATCACAAAAGGAGATTCTCTACAGCTGAACTGCTCGGCCGTGGGGAACCCCAGCCCCTCGTACACCTGGACAGTCCTGCCAGCCGGTGTCCCCCCGTCCAACAGCAGCGTCCTCACCATCCAGTCTGTCGCTTCTGGGCATGGGGGGGAGTACAGCTGCTCTGCCAGCAACGACATGGGGACAAGCACTGTGATGTTCAGCGTGGCTGTCAAAGGTGAGTTGTTCATTCCAAATCCAGTTCCTTCTTTAAAGCTGCTCTCAAACATGCACTGCACTTCACATGTTCCTCTGGAATTATTCGGCCTGTCTGTAGTAAAAACTCGAAACATTACCTGTCGGGAGGTAAAATAAAAGTTTCTGGTGTGCAGGCATTTCTTGTCTTCTGGTTTTCGTTGCTTTTGTCTTGAAACTAATGATCAGAATACCTTTACTGTAATCGTAAGCTATGCATACAACAAAATTAGAGGTACTACTTCTCTACTGTTCAAAAGTGTCTGTGAATTTGTCACTGGGAAGTGAATCACGGGGAAAAACCAACATGACTGCTTTCAGTTCTGCTCTCTCATTGTAAATGTGAACTCACCGTAGCCCTTGTGAAAAGAAGAAGGAAGTGAATTGTGGCTATGCTGGTGATATTTTTTTGCAGATGATCTGACGTTAAATTCTGTCTGTTCCTTTTTTTTTCTTTACCAGACTACATCATCGAGTACATAATAGGTGCTGCTGTTGTGTTTTTCATCATCGTCTTGATAGCAGCAGCAGTCTACTTTTACAAAAAAAACCGGAAGGGAAAGTACAACCTGAAGAAAGTTTTTTGTTTTCGCTCAGGACACGTTGCCGTACCCACTGAAGGGTAAATCAGTGGGACGGTGTGAAAAGTGAGATAAGCTACAGAATTGGAGTCTGACTCATGGCCTGTGTTGCATCTCTCTCACTGTCATTTCCTGTCATCTCTATGTTGACGTGATCTGATGACACAAAATGCCCCAAAAAAGATCCGTTTCAAGTTGTGTAACCTGAGTACTTCAAGGAACAAATCACTTCCTCTGCTAAACAAAGTGTCATACAGTTAAACTCGTGATCAAACACATTTCACTACACAGACAAAAAAGTAAATTGTTGGACACAATTTGATAAATACTTAAATGTAACACACACATCCTTTCAAATTAGAGTTAGCAATTTGTATAAATTGTTAAAGTTATGTTGAACATTGAAGTAACTTTTTTGATGGTCGTTTGTTTGACAATATGTGGTTATTTTATATTACTAATAATGTCTTGTGTGTGTTAGTCTATGTTCTCTCTGGGGCACCCAGCTCAAAGCCCATTCATCTCTACTGAAGACATACAGCTTTAAAATTAAGTCACAAATATACATACTGCACATATTTCAAAATGTCCAATTCTTTCTCAAAGCAATTGAGCCTGTTTTTTTCAAATGGGTTATTTTTGTATAATCATGCTCTCGTGGTGCATTTTACCAAACACATTTCTGAGTAGTGTCTGCCTCATGCGAACACGTGTGATCTCCGTGGCCTCTGATGACAGCTGCCTACCTGCTTGGAATCTACAGAGCCCCTCTGGTGACATCTGGAAAAAATATATTGCATCACCATGAGTCATTAAGTCGTGGGAATGAGTTATGAATCTGTTCTTTAATAACAAGACCTGGCGAACAATGTTTTTATTGACTATTAATCCCAAATATTTCCACCCCAGTGTGAGTCCTCAGAGTCAGTGTAGACAGTGTGTGTCGAACAAGTTCCAAGTTCACCAGGTCATAAAAAACAGATTCATAGCTCATGGCCACGACTTATCTTGTCACCAGTGAGGTTCTGTAGGAGTCGGATAATAGTTTCCTACTTTTTATAGTTATGGAAAACCTTGAGGGACTGTAGTTGAGTCGGTTTGTCTGATGCTACTTCTGTATCTTCTGTTGTCACTTCTGCCTTTCACTGTCCTCATCGTGTTTTTCTAAATTCTCTCACTGGTGCAACATGCTGCCTCCTGTTAACTCATTTACATGTAGATTAATGTGCAGTTTTTATTGCTGCTGTAAAAAACTGTTTCAGGAAGTAATGTTTAAAAAAGTGAAGCAAAAGCATCTTGATTGCCACTTGCTGTCTGGTTACAGTACAGGACCTCAGCACAGAATCCAAATGTGAAGGAAGGTGTTTGAACCTGGGATATTTTGGCTTCATGTCTGTATAGTGAGAGAATGTGGAATGTGGAATTAGTAAAATATTAAACAGACAAACTACATGTTTGGAAATCATTGTGTAAATGTTGTTAATTTGTGAATGTGCTGTTTTACCTGTCACGTTTTATTTTGCTCATGTGACTGCAGAGAACTTTATCACTTTATTTAGAGGTGTGCTGTGTACAAAACCTTGAATATTATATGTGCATAAATTTCCCACTGAACTTTGCAGCGAGGTGTGAAGCCTCACGGAAACCTTGTGACACCTCACAATATCTCACATTTCCTGCCTGTACATACACGTGTAGTTGTGGTGCTATTTAACTTTGACTTTGACTTCAAGCCAGATCTTCACTAAAGATCTTCACTAAAAAAATGCTATGATGATGATTTGACTGAGTGTATTTGTAAACATGAATAAATGGTATCACTTTACACTGGACAAGCTGCTGTCTATTCAGATTTTATTTGCTTCACACTTCACAAATATTGTCACACAAAAAAAAAGTAGATCTGATCCACACAATGAATACATGACCTTGTTGGGTAAAAAAAAAAAGGAACTGAAGTAAACAAGGCAGGAAAACAAAGGTGGAGATAAAAGATCAAATAGTAAATGACTCAATTTATCATGTGTGACTGTGGTGAATATAAGGAACTGAAGGAAACATATAATTACAGGTTTCCTGTTAGTGTGATTCCTCATTTTTGCTGATGTCAGAGGTTTGGATCTATGAGGCTCTGACAGGAAACACCCCTGCAGAGGCTGTTTAGGGTGAAGCCCGTAAATACATCCCAAGAGTACTTGACTGTTTTCCTCCTCTTCCTCCGCCTCCATAGAGAGGAACCCCCCCCTCATGTAAATATAAAGTTTTTAAATATAAAGAAATGGTGAAGACAAAAACAATTCAGATGATCACACACACCAGTGACATCATCACTTCCTTCCACCTCAGTCTTACACACTGGTTCATTCAGAAAACAGAGCTGTTTTTTTTTTTTTAAGTGAGAGCAATATGCTTTATCTTATCGTCTGTATTTAATACATATAAACATACATATGTAACTATATATATAGTTAGAAATCCCTGTTGATCTTCCACGTGGTGCTGTAAGCTTCAGCAAACATGAACACAAACCTTCGCGCTCTTTGATGACGTGTATCCTCCGCTTCGTTAAGAGGATTATTGTAAATCTCTGTTTCTCCGGACTGAAGCGGTGTCGTCTCCGCTGAACACCTCCACTGTTCCCCCGGTGCCGTGTTTGAATCCCGCGGTGGTGTCGAGGCAGAGGAGGCGGGAGGATGAGCTCCGGAGCCGGCGTCGACTACAGCGTGTGGGACCACATCTACGTGTCCGATGACGAGGACGCGGTCAGCCCGTACGTGGACACACCGAGTCTGTTCCGGATGAGACACCGGGTCAGCGGTTTGTGTAGCTGTGACGTGTGGAGTCTCTTACCTGGTTAGTTTGACCAGTAGTTACTAGTAGTTAGTGACCGGAAACCAGTAACTAGTTAATACACTGAGAGCTGCAGGTGTCACACTTAAATCTGTCACCCGTCAAACATCTGCAGGTGTCACAAACCTTCGCGCTCTTTGATGACGTGTTAAATCTGTCACCCATCAAACATCTGCAGGTGTCACAGTTAAATCTGTCACCCGTCAAACATCTGCAGGTGTTACACTTAAATCTGTCACCTATCAAACATCTGCAGGTGTCACACTTAAATCTGTCACCTGTCAAACATCTGCAGGTGTTACAGTTAAATCTGTCACCCATCAAACATCTGCAGGTGTTACACTTAAATCTGTCACCTATCAAACATCTGCAGGTGTCAC